ATATTTATAAATATATAAAATAAAGAAAATTGTTTGTAAAGTGAAAAGATGATTGATGATAATTGCAAATGATGGGGGACAAAAATAATTAATTTAAATTCGCCATGCAAATATGTTTTATAGGTGATTAATTATTATAATATTTTTATATATCATTTTTAATTTCAAAGATAATGTTTCTAATTGCATTAATATATTTAGCTATATCTTAGTATAGAAATTTTAATGATGTCTTTAAACATAGCTTATTAAAAATGTATTTTTCAATATTAATATATATAAAAATTCTTATTTAGAAATACAGTTTTATAGTTTATATAATATATTTTAAATAAAAATATGTAAACAAATCAGCAGAACTTTTTAAAAAATTTTATGTACTAATCTTCGATGAAACATTTTGAAATTTATAATGCTAATTATTAAGGAATTTTTAATACATTTTACTTGATTTTTTTTATAAGTTTAGGAAAATAAATAAATAAAATATAATTTAAATTAGGTGAAATGTTCTTTCAAACTTTATGTAAAGAACTCAATCTTAATTTTAATTAAGAAACGATAAGTGAACATATTCTGTAGTATGATGGGTAGAAACAAGCTTTTAAAATGTTATAAACATAGAATTAATGACAGTAAAATGATGTAATCTTCCTCTATATAATACTGATAAATTTAATTTAATGTAAAATGTAGAGTTTATTCCAAATTTTTCCAAAGATTTTGCATTTACCGAGGATATGTCACGTACTTCATTTGCATCAATACGTTTGAAAAAAGATTCTATGACGATAAGAAAAGACGAACAGTTTTACTTTTTACTTCTACAAAAGTTACTTTGTTAACTAATTTTAAAAAGACTATAGAAATCCTCTATATTATCTGATAAATCAATTATTAATGATGTAAAATATATGTTCCAAGTTCTTTCATGAAAAGAAAAAATAACGATGTAATGTAATAAGATACAACACATAAACGAAGGAGGAAAAACTCAAGTTTTGTGTCTAAATTACAATATATAGAATTTCTTTTTAATTTTAAATTTCAAAATCTGAATGTAAATCAATCCTTCGATCATTATCTTCAATTACATGATTTATTATTTTAATTATCTAAAATTAGTGTCTTTGTTAGCTTATTACACAAAAGGGATAAAAACGGAATTCAAGGTTATATTTTTTGTATTAGAATACACAAACTTGATTCAAAAATAACTTACACATAAAAAAATATTCTCAAGAGAAAACAATGTGTGAATATTGTTTACTAAAACGTTTAAAAAGAGTAAAACATAAAAGTCTATTTACAATTGCTAGTATAAGTCATCACTCTTGCATCACAAAACAATATATAAAGACAGCGAGCAAAAATTACTGTGAAATCATCATAATGCCGGTATGCCATTTTTACTTTATTTAATTTAAAATATATGCTCTCGATTTCGAATTAGTAGTGTTTTGCCTCTGTACATCATAATTTTTCCTGGTCATGTACCTCCTACGTAACTCCGTTGTGTCGAAAACTTTTTGAATTGAATCGAATACCTGTATACTTAATCGGAGCCTCTTATCCCTAAGCTTTTCACATTTTGGTCTTCACTTTTATCGAAATTAAGAAAGGAAAGACAATGGGAATTTATAGGTCCAATATACAAGGTGATTCAAATTAGAGTATCAATTCGGAGCAATCTGCAGAGAGAACCAATGAGAGAAACTTCGTCATACTTGGTGTGAGCACTTTCCAGATCAAAGGCATCAGATTTTGACAATAAGAAATCGCTCAAATATTCGCCGATAGGGAAAATATAGCGCTGCTGGCAAGAAAAATAACAAAATTTTCGTAACTCGACATCTAGTAGGAACGTTCCACTTAATCATTTTCGACAGTTTCCTGAGGCCTCTATCAACTCTAATATCTCACTATTTTTATGTACTGTAATTCATTAATAAACGCAATAAAGTTCATTGATTAAACTTCATATGCTGTTGAATTTGGTTTATTCACACTTCCATTAAGGCAGTGTGAATAAACCTATTGCAGCGCTATATTTTCCTCTGCGATAAATATTTTAACTATTTTTTTATTACCAAAATCTTTTTTTTTTAATGAAATGAAAAGTGAAAAATTCAAGTATGAATAAGTTTTGTCCACGATCCACCCTTAATTCATTTTTTGAACTACGTTGTTATTATTTTTGCGGTTTTAAGTACAGTATATTAAATTGTTGGTGAAAATAAACTATAAATTTTAATAAATTAATCTTTATTTAAAGAAGACTGACATAGAAAATATGAGAAAGGGTGTGTTAAATAATGAAGAATTATTAGAAAATCTTGCTTTTTATACATTTAGTAAGAATTTATGAATAAAATATAATTGATTTTATGTAATTTTCTGTAAAAATATTGAATATAAATGTCTCTTAATCAGCTTAAAATATTTTCAAAGGGTGGGCCAAAAGTAGTTAATCGAGATATACGTAAATTTTTTTTAAGAAAAATTATTTAATATATACATAGGTTAACTAACTTTTGGTCCGCCCTTTATATTTAAAAAAAATTATTTATTTTTTCTAATTTGAAGTATCTTAATGCAAACTTTAATGCAATCTTCTTACTAAATTTAATATTTTCCGTAAATTATTAATGATTTTGGAAGTATTTTTTTAATAATAATTTCCTTAATTCATCGAACATAATTAATTATATTTAAACTTTANTCAATTTTTTATAGATAGTTCGCAAATATTTTAAATAAATAAATCGGTAAATATTAAAAAAAAGTTAAAACATTCCTCGGAAATTCCGATTTTGATATTTTTAATAATTTCTTTGCAATTTCGTAATTACCTTTACAACAATTTTAAATTTAATTACTTTTTCTTTTAGTAAAAAAGTTTTCTAAAAATTAAATTAATGAAATTATTATTTTATTTCTAAATATTTAGTAATAAAATTTACTCGATTTGTTTTCTACGTTATAAATTTAAGTAGATCTTATATTAAAAATTACATTATAACATATTATCTCGAATAATTATCGATCTGTTAAAGAAAAATAAAAATGTTATTCCTATATTTTTATATTAAGCAAATAATGCTCCTTAACATTAAAGCCTTTTTTTGATGCCTTATTGATTAATAACGCTTTGACAAGGAAGAATAATAATACCCAAATTTCAAAAAAGTTCATATATACCATATTTTAATATTAGATATTTGAATATTTATGTATTTATATACATGTTGATATATATAATTTAATAGGTCTAATGTTTGTGGGGTTTTATAAACAATTTTTGCGCTGGGACACAACGCTCTTGCTTTATTATTTTTAACTTACTTGCTTACGTATAGTACTGTAAACAATAGTATAACAGTAAAGTAACCATAATATACTGTATTATACTTAAAATACATATCACTGCCTAGTTTCTATACTGAACTATTTTAACTGCATACATATTGCAAGTACAATACTACTCAATATGTAGATAAAGAGTTTTAAATAAAATGTAAGCAATGTACTAATACTAGTGATCGTATGTCGTATTATATGTATACGTTACAGTTATTTATAGTAAGTAGGCTACAATACTACACAGTACTCTACTTATGTAATACGATACGGTATAATATTGTAATACACAAGTATAGTACTGTGTATT